GACAAGAATTTCATATTGAAGTTGAACACCAACAGTTTAAAAAGAAGGTTATTGTTTTGGTAGCAGAAATTTGTGGCGCTGCTTTAATCTTTAATATTTTAAATTCAGTCGGTAGATTATAAAATACTTTTGTCACCCAATAAGAATAGGAGCGCTTGAAAATTTTCACTGACGGAGCGGGTACCTTTAAACCTGATACTGATAATACTTATCATGTGCTGTTAGGCAGGGATCATACACAGGGATATCGCAATACGTCATTTGAGATAAGACTAATGAATCGCAAATGAACGGTTTGATGGGTCTACAGAAAATATTTCTATTTTGAAAGAATAATTTTAAATTCATGAATCAATTAACAACCCTAAATTTTATTTGATCTTTAAAGTGTATTGATTTATCTTCTATATTTAATACATTATTTGAGGTTTGCAAAAAAAAAATTATTCCTTGTTTTTCTACCATAAACTGTTGCTGTAGTTTGGTTAGCATTGAGCTTGATTTTTATAGAATATTGTAAGCTTAGTTTACGCAGAAATTGCCCGATTGGCCTCATCGATCAGAAATGAGAGATATATCTGACTATCATCTCCATACAACACATGCAGACACGATAAGAAGACTTTTGATAGTTGTGATATGTGATGTAATCACAGAGGTCCCAAAGGAGAACCCTGAGGGACTCCAGAGGGTACATTTAGAGAAGTTGACCTTTTGCCAATAGAAACAGTTTGTTCACGGTCGATAAGATAATTTTAATGAGCTTTCGTGCAGATACACTCAAACCAATATAGTTCAAAATCGATAAAAGCAACAGGTGATTAATTGTATTAAACGCTTTAGAGTAATATAGCAAAACTCAGTCAACTTGCCGTTGTTTCAGGACTTCAAAATATCATCAGTAATATTGAGCCTGAATCCTTAAAAGAGTGTCGACATTAGTCGAAATAAATTCTGCCTTTTTGTCCGCACTTGCAACATTATAAATGTTCTGCCCCGGAATTCATCTTAGATCAGCATCAAACTCGACAAAATTAAAATTTTTAAAGTCCTCTAGGTTTTTACATAATTTTTCAGTTGATCTAGTATTTAAACTTTATCCCGTTACAAAAAAAAATAAGGAAAAAAGAAAGATTTTTTTGCAAATCTCTTAAATTATTACGAAAAGATACTAGGGATATATAATTAAATAACATTTTTTGTTTTCGCACTGGGCTGGAAAATCCCGATTATTATGTAGAACGAAAACTATTTTTAAACAATAACCAAATATTTATCTATAGACCGCTTCTTAGATTCGGGAATAAACTTGCTAAACTACAAAAACTAAAGAAGGATAACAGAAACACTGTTTTAAAAAAGATCTCTTAAATTATTACCCAAAGATAAAAGAGATATTCATTAAAAGCTTAATGAGATTGAATTTAGAAACGCCTTTCGATATTCAGAGTCAACATCCTGTCATTTCCGGAAGTTGCTGTCAACTTGCTGTTTTTAAATGGGACACCCCGTATATTATTATATTTTGAGATTGTGTCAAAATGTCCTATAATACCTATAATTGTTTTTCAAATATTTGGGCTTGAAAAAAATTGTGCCTCTAGCTTAACCAACTTCAACAATGCATATTTTTTTAGTTTTTGAAAATTTGATCCTCATATTTAGCAAAATGTTATAAAAACAGGCGCAAGTGCACGTTTTCGTTATTGTCGACTGCTTTTATACAGGGTGTCCAAAAGTATGCCGTAAACATTCACCTTTTCAGAGTCGTTAAACTAGGGTTTTTAATGCGACATCCTGTAACTAAGTGTTATCAAGTTCCTATCAAACTGAATTGGGGTTATATCTATTCCGAGCCATATTCGAAATTATAAAGTTTTCTGATGGTATCGCATTTGTTCAGCTGAACATTTTCCCTTTACGTAGTTGGCTATGGAAAAACAATTATGGCATTCTGTTGTTAAACAAGACAACTAATAATTAGTTTGCATTGTATGTTGACATCTGTCACTAACAAAATAAAACTTTAAATTTAATATGGAAGTATACTGAAATACTGAATTTGTGCTGGAGAGAACCTGTCGTGTTTTTAATGCATTTGCAGCCAATGAACACGAAAAAAATCTAGAAGATGGAAACAAACCTTTTCGTTTGGAAGAATAAAAAAATTAAATTTTACTCAAGTGACCAAAAAAAAAAGGATTATAAAAGATGTTCTATGTTCTATGCCCGTTTGTTTGAAGACACTTTTTAATCAGTCCGCATCTTCTCAAATAATTCTTCTCTGGTATTCACTGGAGAATAATACACTTTCGATATATCCCCACAAATAAAAATCAGGTGACCGCCGAGGCCAACTCCAGTGGCCATGGGCCATCTTCAAATATTCGAGATAGTTCGAGATAACCCACGTGAGAACTTGTGCCCCATCTAAGTGATACCAGAAAGTTTAACGCTTACCGATAACAAATTCTTCTATAAACTGAGTAACCGTTCGTCGTAAAATTTCTAACATTTATCGCTATTTAAATTTTTGTCAAATAAAATACCGCACCTCATTGGTTAATATTAGGCCAAAAACATTCAAACTAATCATATTTGGAAAATGTACATCTCATGAAACGTGTGGATTTCTCTTTTGCTCAATAATGTTGGTTTTTTCTGTTTGTTATTCCCTCTCTTGAAAACTTCAATTTTTCTTGGATTTTCAACAACATAAATTCGCATAATCTAATTCGGGTGCATGTGACGTTGATTCAGAATTCTTTGGACAAATGAAGTGGCAATTTCGAAATCTTCTTTTACAGGCGGTATTGAACTTTTCTGGCGTGCGTGGAAATGTATTCGTTGCATTATTCTTGTCACCATTTATTGGTTCTGGAACAGGTCCTCTCCAGTACTTTGTAACATTCACCGTAAATATAAAACAAATTGAGAATATCTGCATTTGAGTATTCTTCCATATTAAATTTAAACCTTTACGTAATGACAGCTGTCGACATACAATGTAAACAATTATTAGTTGTCACTTTGATAACAGAACGCAATAATTGTTTTCCCAGGTACGTGAAGGGAAAATGTTCAGCCGAACAAGTATAGTACCATTAAAAAAACCAATATGGTTCGGAATAGGTATAGGTAAACGTTTTAGACTTGAAAAAAGCGAGTTTAGCGAGTTTGAAAATTTGAACATTTGCGGCTTAATTTTGGACACCCTGTATAAAATCGTAACCAAAACGTAAACTTAAGGCTATTTTTGAACGTTTTTCCAAATAAGATGATCAAATTTGCAATAAACTACAGACATATGAATTTTCAAAATTGGTTAAGCTGGAGACACAGTTTGTTTTCAAGATCGAATATTTCAAAAACGGCTAAACATAGGTACAGGACATTATATATAAAATATCTTTTTCTACTGTCGTCTGTAAAATACATAAATAGACACCGATCTAGGGTGCGGAAAACGTCACTTTACCACGTGAGTTTCTTGTCCCACCGATCCGAGCCGCTTCGAACATTTCGCAATTATTATGTAGAATGTGGTTTTTTTTCAATGATACACGTATTTACAAAACTTCTGGATTCCTCCTGCGTTCGTTGTTGTTAAATCGAACTTGCTGACGTTTGGCCAATTATAATGTTGCCCTCTTCAGAACTTAACTGAAGCTGACTCGCATTCTATTCTGTTCCTGCTCATATATTGTTGGAGGGGGTGGAGCTAAAGGAGTGGCTTGAACAATGTCTCGCATAACTGATCCCCATATTGGTGAAAGACAAAGACCTGAGTCGCGGTTATATTAGGTTGCTTATAGATTTCTATAGATTCTCGGATTTTTCGTTGGTAGAAGAACTGATTACATGCAAGAATTTTAGTTTTGTCGAATACAATTTTATGTCCGGTTTCGTGAATGTGTTCAGTAAATGTCGATGAGTTTATTTTTCGCAATCTTAGGGCTCGTTCATGTTGTTTGAGCCTAGTTGATAATTTTCATTCGGTCTCTCCAATGTATCCTTTGCCGCATATCCATGAAATGCTATAAACTCCTGGTTTTGATGTTATATTTCTTAAGAAGTTATTTTTAATTGTGAATTCAGTGACTCGGGTCGAGATAGTTTTACGGAAATGTAAACAAGATATAATAACCGATGTGTGGGCGTAGATTTTCTGTAAAAAGAATGACCCAATGTTAGGTCTGATTTTCTTTTGATAAGAATACCTAAGAATGGGAGATTATTAGTAGTTTCTAATTTAATAATAAAATGTATATTAGGGATTCTTGACCATGATGCCAAATAATAAAAGAATCATCGACATAGCGTGTCCATAATTTTGGTTTTATGTGAAAGGTGTCGAGAACTTTCTTCTCAACTGGCGATAATGGAGAACCCATAGCTGTTCTCGACGTTTGTTCAAAAATTTGACCTTTTGAAGAAAAATATGTTCCCTGCAAGTATTTTTCTATTATAGGATGAAAAGGTTTGGTTCCAGATTCTCGGATTTTAATATATGATGTTGAGAGTTTCAGGGATAGTAACTTCAGTAATAAGGGATTCTACGTCGAAACTAACCAGAATTTCCTATGCATCTAATGTAATGCGTTGTAATTGTTCAATGAAATGAAATGAATGAAGTACAAGACTATCAGTTTTCCCTGTAAAGGTTTTTAATGTAGAAGGTAGATATTTTTGTCTTAGCCGCGACTCAGGTCTTTACCTTTTACCACTATGTGGATCAATCAACTCCTCCTTTAGTTCCGACCCCCTAAAAAAATATATATAGCAGGTACAGAGTAGAATGTGAGCCAGTTTCAGTTAAACCCTGACGAGACCAATAGGATGATTGGCGAAACGTCAGCAAGTTAGATTTAACAACATCCTACGCAGGAGGAATCCAGAAGTAAATAGTATTACAGTAGTCTGTAGAAGTTTCTTTTAAAAATTATCCATGGAAGAGTTTTTATCATTCAATTTGCACACTTTTATTTTTTACATTCCAGGTCGCCTACGGAAACTGCGGCGTTGTCGGACTAGATGCAGAAAGCGACGCTTTGGAGGGCAAAGCGTTCGTGGAAATGACCGGCATCGATCCCCAGACGTCGCAAAAGATTAGCGAAGTGATCAAAAACAAGGGCGGCCGTTATCTCGAGGCCCAGATTCAGGGTAGCAGAGACGAGGCGGAAGAAGGAAGCTTGGTGATTTTGGCCGCCGGCGATCGGTCGGTCTTCATGGACTGTCAGTCGTGCTTCAAGGCGATGAGCAAGACGGCGCTATTCCTCGGCGACGTCGGCATGGCCAGCAAAATTTACCTTATTTTGCAACTGATGCGGGGAATCTCACTGGTGGGATTAGCCGAGAGTCTCGTCCTGGCCGATCGTTGCGGCATATCCGCTAAAGATATCCTCAACATATTCAACATGACTAACTTGTGCTGTCCCTATTTGAAAAACAAAGCCGAAACCATCATAAAGAAAGACTTTAAGAAAGTCGAACACTCGATCCAGCACATGCAGAAGGATATAAAACTGGCGCTCGATCTCTCCGACCAATTGATGCAGCCTTTGATGATGGCGTCCGCGGCTAACGAGGTTTACAAACACTCGAGGAAGCTCGGTTACGACGAACATGACTGTGCCTGCATATACATGAAAACTAGGTACTAGGAAGATTTTATCCGACAAAGATTTTTATATGCGTTGAATTTGAATAATTTTCAAAAGAAAAAAATATGAATTAAGATTTATTGTGCTAATTTGTTGTTAATATTGTAACTGCCACCGAGATCTGGTTTTCTTTTTTCGACAGAAACAAAATATTCGCGTGTGCGGACTCGAGTATGTAATTTTAATTTTTTTCGCAATCTTTACCTTAATTTGTTTTCATTATGTAATCTTGGTATAATATATTCTACAAAAATGATGTCATTTATGTTTTTTTTATTTAACTTGATGGGCCCGATGGGTAAGTGTAAAATATAATAAGGACGGGACTAAAATGGAGCTAAAGTAACATTGATTATTAATTATTTGACAATATACCTGTTCAACTTTATGAATCAAAGTAACGAAATAAAAAAAAAGTGTATCAATCACGCCAATAAAGCTCTCTCCCCATCTATCCTTGTAAAAGTAGGAATTTTCTTGAGATATGCTACAAGACTATTAACTTATTAAGGATAAAAAGCCCAACACCTAACTTTTTGAAATTCAGCATTTTGATTTTCGTTAGATCTAGATTAGAAGATATCCTAACAAAATGACGTTATTTAGGTAATTAATGGGCCGCACGGATGAGTGAAAAATGTAATAAAGACAAAACTAAAATGGAGTTTAAGTAGCATTGAATATTGAATATTTGAAAATATGGCTTTCCAGCTTTATAAATGACCGAGCAAATGACAAACCATACATGAATATTGCCCAAAATTACTATTTATCAAAGAAACATTTTTTTTTTTAATGCTGTCAATCACTCCAATAAAGCTCCTCTTCCCTTCCACGCTCTATTTTGTAAAAGTTGTAATTTCCATGAAATACGCTACAAAACTATGAATCCCCAGATATAAAAACCCCAACGCTTGACTTTTTAAAAAACGCCATTTTGATTTGTCCACAATAATATGATTAATTGGGTTTTTATTGTGTCAAGGTTTCCTTAGAAAATATTAAACTACATAAAGCATCCGCAACAATATCTCGTGTTGATTTAAAATCGTCTATTTTTAATTAAGTTTAATCTATATTAAGTTTAAATGTTTTTTTATATTGAGGCGTATGGATGAGTGAAAAATGCAATACAGACAAGAATAAAATGGAAAAAAGTGACATTGAATATTAAAAATTTGAAAATATGGCTTTCCAGCGTTATAAATTACCGACCATATGACAAAGGCTACATAATTATTGCCCTAAAATTGATATTAAAAAAAACAAAATATTCAAAAAAAAAATTAAAAGAGTTTGACTTTATAAATATCTTATTTTCCTTAATTTTAACGCCTTCAACACTTAGATTTTTTAAAATTTGGCCATTATGTATATTTTTTCTGCCCTCGGACTGTTTAAATAAAAAACTACATAAAACATTCACAATAATAATAATATGGTGATATACCAAGTCGCTAAGCAAAGTACTGGTTTCAATTTGGTTAAAATAAACCGAATAATTTAAAAAATATCCCAAAAATTATATTTTTAGATATAATTGATCAGGAAAAATTTTGTAAAATCGCAAGGAATAACTGCTAATTTTTACGGACCATGTATCTCAATTTAAAAATAAATGAGACTAATTGAAAGTGTTCCTGAGGAGGCTTAACTGCAACATTAGTTAAAGTCGGTGAAAGTTTCGAAAATCTCAAATTAACACATTAAGTGTGCAATTATTTGAACAAAATTTGCTAGAATTGACATTATAAAGTAAATTTAATAAACTACCAAAAATAGTCTACGACGACTACTCGCTCTTAAATTCGCCTTTCATAGAAAGATTGCCATCCAATTTTAATGTCTCCTATTTGCAGTATTAAATAAAATCATCGAGTGACTCGCCATAGTAAGAACAATTGGCCGTTGACTTTTTTTCCAACATTTGGTTCCCAAAACAAACGAAAAATGAGTTAAATACATTTTCAATTTTTTTATTATTTTATTATTATTCCCCTCCTATTTCTTTGACAGATGATATATTTTTTTGGTTCGTTTTCTTTATCTCTCGTTAGCTCTTAGGACTGTTTAAAGTACCTGTAAATCTGAACAGTACTTCATTTTTAACCAGCAACAAAGCGATATGCGTAATAAGGTTTAAAGAAAAACTCAATTTTATAAATAATAAAAAAAACAATCCCCCTCCCCAATATACCATACAAAACATCACTACCAGGCCGCAATGGGAATTAATCTAGCAGTCTAGAGACTACAGCCTAAAGAATTTCTCGAAGTTCTCTTCGGTCTTTACAGATTTAAAATAAATTAATGAGACGAATAAAAGAAAACATAACACATGAGACTAACATTATACAAACTAGTTAATATTACTTTTTACCTTCCCGGCAGCCCATGTGATCCAGGAATTCAGCTGAAGAAAAACATTTTTCTATAATAAGTTTTCATAATAGGAAATCAGAAAAAACACTGATGCCTAAGAATTTTTTTTTGACTAGCAGAGAAGCTTTCCTTTTCCTACAGTGACCGTCATGCACCAAAATTTACTTGCAACGTAAACAATTAATTATATACATATCATAATTAAATATGTATTACAGTTACTTTTTCTTTTATTTTCAACCGACATAGAAATTGCAACATAAAACTTAAAATATAATAGTTTGTATCAAATAATTTAACTATTCGTAAAATTCAATGGGAAACTTTTTTATTTTTAGTTTTGGGAAATATGATCTGCACTGTCTAATACTGGAAATACAACCATCACAAATAACATTTGCTGAGTGTATACAAGGTTTATGGAAAAATACGAATTTTATGCAAGAGCGAAGTACCTTCATTTTTTAAACTATCGACAATTCTTATTAAGAAAATCGGTATTAAACATCAATATTAATATCCCCCTGATATTAATATATATAACTGATATAACTTCCCTGTATCAGCACAAATTTTTGTGGCAATTAAATCAAGTAGTACTATATACACACAAGATTTTCACCGTCAAAAATACACTATATATATATATATATATATATATATATATATATATATATATATATATATATATATATATATATATATATATATATATATATATATATATATATATATATATATATATATATATATATATATATTATAAAAAGAAAGAAAAATGGACGATTAAAGTGGTTCACAAAGTATCCGTTAACAAATGATTTAACCTCAAAAAATCTAAACACGTAGAAAAATTGAGAAATGATATAAAACAATCTCCTATTACACTTATTTGATAAAGAAAACGCATATTACTACCCGTCTCCCTGTAAATAAAATTTCCCCTGGCCTATTCCAGTTGAGGTCGCTGCCGGCAAATCTGACTCTCCTTTTTTGAGTCGCATGAGTTCAGAAACTTAATGCTGATCATACTAACAGGTAACGAAAAAATCCATAGATAAAAAATCCAGTGTTACAAAGATACTTGCAGTCAAAAAGAGTGCTGTTGCCAAATAGTTAAAGATTTCTGAATTGCGTCGTCCAATGTTAACTAATAACGATGCACACAGCAATTTGCATGAAAAATAAGTGGACAAAAACAAATTTTGAAATCTACCAATTCAAATAATTAAATGTACTTTTTCCTATGACGTAAATGCCGTTTTTCTACTCCCGTCTGTAAAATACCTAATTACCCACCGATCTAGCGTGCTGGAAGCGTCACATTACCACGTCAGTTTTTCCCATGAATTCGAGCCACTTCGGACATTTCCGGGATTTTACCGCACGGATTTGGGAGCAATCGGGTGTTTTCGAAGATATTTCCCACGCTTTGAATTTTGACGTTTGTCAATTCTGACGAGTAGATATATGTATGCTTGGGGACATCCCCACTCCTCTCCCTTTTGTGGGCGTATCCTCCTTCCCCACGACTCTCTAGCTCCTCCGCCTTTACCCATAATCCCTTGAAACTGGTCCCCATTGGATAAGCAACCAGAAATGCGGTTTAATCAATCTCCCCACCTCTAGTTTGCGATGGCGGCGAAGCCAATCAGAGCCCAGATATTTTCCCACCCGTATGAAAAGCAATGGCGTCAATGAGACTTGATCATATTGTTCGCGTGACCATCTGCACCCTCTAGCGGTTCGAATGTAAACTAGTGTCCCCTCTTGGAATAAGATTTTCTTTAATAAGGTAACCCCACCTAGTGAATATTGACCAAAACATTTATTTTAAAAACATATAATTCTGCGAATGTGTACCCTCGCGGGTACAAACTGTACTTTTATTGCGCACAAAGGACAGGGGAAATAAAGACGAAAAGTGTTGGATTTCTTTTCTCGGAACTGGAAGCTGGCAGGCACCACCAATAATATCTGCAAAACAAAAAGCTGGTTAAAATTTTCATTAATAAAGTAGGATATTAGAAACCATATACCTTTTTAATTAATAAGCCATCTACCGTGCGTTAACTTCATACATATTTCCGCATGCTTCTGTTTTAAGGTATCGTGAAATATTTGACTATTTATCTGGGAAAAGTTCATATGTCGAAAATATTATGTGTATGTGGCCGTGGTAGGCTTTCTTTGCTATTATAATTTTATTTTTATTATTTAATATTTACAAAATTAATTTATCTATCTTATTGATGATTTTGATTTTCTTTGCTATTTTATTATTTGTTTTTATTATTTAATATTTTCAAAATTAATTTATCTATCTTATTGATGATTTTAAGATATTGCAGTCAACTTTACTATTTCATCAATTTCTTTTATTTATTGCTGATCTTTGAGGATAGTGTACATACTTTTTTTTGTAACTTATCTGTATCTACCCTTTAATTTCCTATCAAGCCATAAAGCAATCTCGAAAGGCATCTTAACTAAAAAGTCATATACTTTAAAGCTGCTGCGACTACTACTACATGAAAGTGTGTTTCTATGGCAATCTCAACAACAATGAAATCTGGACGCTTATATTAAATACTGTAATACTCTTCTCTGCTAACGCTCTAGGAGACGCTATTTGAACCCTGTTCAAAGAAAAACTTCTACAGCCCAAATAACCTCTCTGAACCACACTTAAGCGCATCACTCTTTCACTGTCTTGCAGCCTTCAGATTAATATTCCGTACTAACTACGTATGCCATACACGAAACGTTCTCTTTTCTAATTTTTTTTCTATGCGCTACATTAACGAACAGGATCTAAACTTTTCTGTCTGTGTATTTTGTTAGCCACCTTAAAAAAAAATTAAAAAAAAAGGTATGCGAACCCAGAGGATATTTTCCATATTTTTCACAAATGGTGACAACAATTAATGCAAGTATTATTTTTAATAATAATCCATCTTTCGCTATGACACGAAAACATCGACTTTTTAATTCTAATTTTTCTCATAGAGCTTCCCTTTAGTCTCTATCTGTTCTTTAACTAAATCCCCACCTTTTTGAAAAACCAACCTCTAAAAATAGTTAATTTTCTCTAATTTAAATTTGTACGTTTTCCGCAATATGTGTGAATATTTTCGCTAGAGCATTTAGTTACTTAGTACATGTCCTAATCAATATTTTAAAAATATAATTCTAATGATACGTGTTTACGATTTGAAGATAACGAAACATTCCCCAGTTTCATAAATGAGAGCTCACTGCCAAACTACCAAACATCACAGTACAAACTACCGTACTACGCCCCCCTGGACAAAATCAGGTCAGTTAGCGTCATTAATTCTACCTGCGTTAACGAATAACGTATTGTTAATTAAGGTTTAATACGTAGAAAATTTAAGTAACAAATAATTGCAATGAAACTCACTAACATCATAAATTATTAAAAAAAAATTAGAACAGTTGGAATTTACTGGAGTAACCAATTTGGCACTAAAAATGGAAATTTTCGATACTCTACTAGGTGCCTACAATAAATTTTACTATTATTTTTAATGCAGAGACACAACGATTTTCTAGTTCTGAATTTGATCAGGGGTATATGACCATAGTTTACGCCGACTCTAAAATGCATGCAGTCTATTGTTTTTGAACGCCCCATTTTGTGTATTATGTTCAAAACAGAGACTCTCTGGGCTTATGACTACAGCTACCAGCTACTACTTTCAATAATATTAACACAAAAAAAAAGTAGGTGGGATTTCTATAATACGTGCAAAGTTTATGTGAAACTGACTGGAAGACAGAGTAATGCACCAATATGTTACTAAACATATTTCGATAGAATTCCGTAAGAGCTTACCTCCAAGTTTCCTCATTTAGTCAGTCAAAGCATCAAATGGGAAATTCCAATCCAACATATGTAGTGGTGGAAATATATCAATCGCCTACGTTACCGACGGTACCCGAGTGAAGCTTCTGCGTCTTCTTTACCCCACATGCCTACTTAAAAGATACTGGTCTAAGTCTCAATATTCCTGTTAAAAAAAGAGAGGTTCTATATTGCCATAACTATGTGTTTTCAAAATTTTACCTGAATGGTTCGTGATTCCTTATATATGCAGTGTTGGCAGCAATGTGGCGACGACTACGCTGAAACTTTCCATATCTCGTGTCCCCATGACTGGTCTGTTTCATATATCAAACCTTACCTCGCACGGGTTTGAACCTCCTTTAAAAAAAAAAAACAGGCAAGACTTATACTTATATCAAAGTAATACGAGGAACTTATATTTTATGCCAAAACTTATTTCATCACCTCCAAAGGGGAGTAGGGGTTTCTAAAGTATGGTAGGTACATCTCTTTCATTTTTTAATTAAAAAAGTGACACAATTACGCGACGTAACTCGATCCGGATCGTTAACGCGTCTCAAGATGGGGGTTTAGAGATGCTGAGGTCATTAAATTGATTCACTATTACCAGTACACACTGAAACCCCTTATTTCCAAAATAAAAAAATTGTTAACTGTTAACACAACAAAAAAAACTATTTTCTCACCAATTATATTTCTGGGTCGTTTTCAGAATTTGTCCAACGTAAAATCCCAAGAGGATAGGGCCGCAATTTCGAAAAATGTTCATGTCTCCCCCACTTTGCATTTGTACAAGAAGCAGGGCCGGATTAACAGCAATTATATTCTTGTCAGTCAACATACAGCCGCCGATTGAATTCTCGGATTCTGCTTTACTAGTTGCCATGGTCTGTCAAATATGTTACTTAAAAATTGTATATTTTTTTTTTACAAATAATATACCTTTCCTAAAATAATTCCGCCTTTGTCAAGTGGGACACGGGCACGTCTGTCCGCTTTGAAAAGCGCAGGCGTATGTATCTTCCAAAATGATCCAAGCAGGCCCGGATTGCCAGCAAATACACAACTCCCCGATTCAATTCTGAGATGTTGCTTCACGAGTTACCATGATCTGTCAAATATTTTAATTAAAAAAAAATCTATTATTTAGCAACAATATACCTTTTTAAAATAATTTCGTCTTTTTTCAAGTTCAACAGGACACGTGTGTTCGTTTCAGTTGGACAAGGGCACGTCTGTCCGCTTTGAAAAGCGCGGCGTATGTATCTTCCAAAATGATCCAAGCAGGCCCGGATTGCCAGCAAATACACAACTCCCCGATTCAATTCTGAGATGTTGCTTCACGAGTTACCATGATCTGTCAAATATTTTAATTAAAAAAAATCTATTATTTAGCAACAATATACCTTTTTAAAATAATTTCGTCTTTTTTCAAGTTCAACAGGACACGTGTGTTCGTTTCAGTTGGACAAGGGCACGTCTGTCCGCTTTGAAAAGCGCGGCGTATGTATCTTCCAAAATGATCCAAATTGTTAACCTTTTTTTGATTCCTCGTTCCCCGATTCAATTCTGAGATGTTGCTTCACGAGTTACCATGATCTGTCAAATATTTTAATTAAAAAAAAATCTATTATTTAGCAACAATATACCTTTTTAAAAATAATTTCGTCTTTTTTCAAGTTCAACAGGGCACGTGTGTTCGTTTCGAAAGGTTTCGTAGTCTGTAGCTCTGTCGAATTCTCCAAAATTCGTTAAACCTTCAGATATTTTCAAAATTTGTCCAACGCAGACTTCCACTCACGCAGTTTCGAAAACTTTCTGGTCTCCCCGCCATGCATTTGTACACGAAGCCGTTCTGGACTATCAGCAAACAGCACATCCGTCATTTTTCTTCTCGGATTCCGCTTGACGAGTTACATCGATCTGTCAAATATTTAATGTAAAACAATCTTATCTATTACTTTTACCCAATATTAAGTACCTATTCAAAATTAGTAGCGCCTTTTCGAGTTCGAATGGTTTCGTAGCCTATAGCCCTGTCGAAATGGCATTGCATTTGTACACGAAGCAGGGTCGGATTGTAAGCAAACAGCACCCCGGTCACTTTTCTTCTCGGATTCTGCTTGACGAGTTACATCGATCTGTGGAATATTTAGCGTAAAAAAAATTATCTATTACTTTTACCAAAAATGAAGTACCTATTCAAAATTAGTAGCGCCTTTTCGAGTTCGAAAGGTTTCGTAGCCTATAGCCCTGCCGAAATGGCATTGCATTTGTACACGAAGCAGGGTCGGATTGTAAGCAAACAGCACCCCCGGTCACTTTTCTTCTCGGATTCTGCTTGACGAGTTACATCGATCTGTGGAATATTTAGCGAAAAAAAAAAAATTATCTATTACTTTTACCAAAAATGAAGTACCTTTTTTCTTTAAAACAGTTCGTCCTTTTCGAGTTTGAAAGGTTTCGTAGCCTATAGCCCTGCCGAAATGTCATTGCATTTGTACACGAAGCAGGGTCGGATTGTCAGCAAACACCACAAGCGTCACTTTTCTTCTCGGTTTCTGCTTGACGAATTACATTGATCGGTCAAATATTTAATATAAAAAATATCTATTTTACCAAAAATACGTACTCTTCTAAGATAAATTAGCTCTTTTCGAGTTTAAGAGGACACGTATGTCAACTGTAGGATGTTTTATTTTTATATTTTCCAGTGTCTATAAATTAATAAACAACAGAAGCTTCCGAATACAAAAATTTCAACATGAGTTTTTTTTTCTTGAAACTTAAAAGTTCTAACCCCTAAAACCATATTTTTAATACGCTGGCGGACGTATAACAATCCCCAAAAATTACCATATTTAAATTGTTACTATTGACATATTTCTATTCCGAACTGAACTCAATACATGCAAAAAAAAAACTAGCGAATGTTATTTATTATCTCCGATGGGTGGATGATTGAGAAACGTTTAAATAAATCTACCTTTCTGTCTCTGTTTTTCTATATAGGTCACTCATTCTCTCTATCTGTTACTTTCCACAATCCGAATTTACACTAGGCCCCCCAAAAATCTTGTAAAATTTTATCTGCTTAACTTCTTCGCGTTGTTCATATGGCTGAATTTTTTGGGAGATATATCGTGCGTTATTTGTATTAAAATTCTGTTTCCTTTTTACCTACTTCAAAAACGTAAGCGAGCATTTTTGGTTGTTTTATTAAACAAAAATTGATACTAAACAAGATCCGTCTCTCCGACCTCAGCCTCCTTCGATCACTCCCCAATTTTTTTTAATTAAGTATAGAAACCTCGTCGAACATATACATAATACTAGGTCAAAATGTTACGCGGTTACTCATTAAAGTCGCAATTCCGAAAGCTTCTTACCTATCTTTTTCCAGTCTTTTTTGTTTTATTTATCCGTATATGAAACACACATTGAACACAAAACTTAAACTCGTTGACGATATTGCATTAAGCAACAAACGCGTATAACAGAAACGAACCCTTAACACAAACGCTTCTTTAAACTTCGACTGACACGTGAAACAACCCGCATTCCTACGAAAGGCAGGTAAACCAAGCAGGTCAAATTTTAAGCTACCCTCCAGTGTCGTCATAGGTTGGGGCATAGTAAATAGCGAATACAACAAAGCGGTAATTTATAATAATTTAATGTGCATTTTATTTAACTTAAGTTGTTTTGTAGAAAATGAGATATTTCTACAATTAATCAATATACTACGAGTACTTTTCCGCTTAATTACTATTTTTGAGAAACAAAAGGAAACGTTAGATTCCATTCAAACTTTTTCGGTTTTCATGATATCTCGCGTTTATTTAGAAGCTAATGGCCTGTGGCCTTAACCAGACGTTTCCAAAGCCTGGTTCTTAACAAACACGAAAAATAGAGTTATATTGCCACCGAAAATCTGAATTTATGTTTAAAAATGTAACTTCCCGTATTTAAACTATTGCCTGCATTGGCGCCTATATTTTATAGTTTTTTTTTATCCTATTTTTTTTGTTTTGCTTGCAAATGTGTGTCCATTTTTCGGGTACTGGATTTTTTTTTTTCTCAAATTATTACAAATTACTCAAAACGGAGTTAAAAAGAGACGAGGAGAAAAGGGAAGAAGAACCCTTATTTCTCCGACACTGACCTCCGATGTTTATAAAAATTGACGCCTTGACACCCTCCCCGTGAATATTTTACAAAGGATTTTTAAAATTTAACTTCCAAATAACGCATACTCTCGCCTAGTGTCACAGTTTTGGGCCCCATTTTGCTATGGTTAGACAGGTTTATTCTTGTACATTGTCGGGACAAAAGAAGCATCTCCTTCATCCAAATTGACTTTTTCATACCTAATACAACAGCTGCCGGGCATCATCTCGCCTTAATTGTTTCTATTGAATTAATTTTAGTTACAAAAAATTAGATGATCGTCAAAATTGGCATAAAAAGATAATCAAGATTTAATTAAAACAAGAATATGCACAAAAGAAAAGAGATAAACTCCGACACGGGAAACAAGGAAATATCGCTGAAACGGCAACTGATCTAGCGCGCGCCTTTTTTAAAAATAATAATTTTTTCAAAAGAATTCTAGGCTAAGCTAAATACCTGGTGCAACAAAATATTGAAGGATCTTCATGATCCTACCTGTGAGCGAGTAGAAAATTATTTGCAAAGAGGATAAAGGTATATCTTAATATAAATAGTTTCACTATTGTTAATATGTCCCCTTTTAAAATGGCGCATTATTTGATACGTACTTTTTTTTCTTGTCAGAGCTTGTCTAAAACAAAAGCGGGATGGATGGAGGTTCTCCGTCAGGTTTTTTTCCTGTCGAAACAAGTTTGTGCGGCGTTCGCTTTGGATCTGGGGAATGGGTGGGGTTATACATATATAAGCTATAAGAAATTTTAATTTTTTATTCAGTTTCCACTCATACAATTTCGTGATAAGTGCAGAGTGAGAAAAATGTCCGAAGTCGAAAATTATCCAACGCAAGCATTGGATTCGTGGGGAAGATTTGTGGTCAATGCGGAAATAATCCGCGAACAAAAATACATTTACGAGGTAGCAATTACGCTGCCGGAATTCGGACTAGAAATTACCTCAGGTCTTAGCCCCGCAAGAATCTTCGCTCCGGCAGTGAAAGTGAGCTTTCTCCCCTACGTTTTGTCGGAGAAAAGAAGCATTTCGTTCGACGAGATAGACTTCACAGAATTAATACAACAGCTTCCACTGTTATTGTTAGCAGGTCCGACTGGTAAAGTTATGTATTTAACCTGCTTCAAACTCAGCTGTCTACAATGTGATGGTGAAGTCTTGGTCAAGATTGAAAATAACGAGGGTATACTCTATATTTCGAAAGACTGGGTACAGGAATTAATTACCATAAGCAAATTGGTATTTAAAAGAATACGAGTACTGTCTCGTTTGAACTTTTACGAGTACTACGATAGAATATTGTATTTGACTATACATGAAAATTTGCTGGAAGACGCCAAAATCTTTCCGCATATAGAATATTTATGTTCTACAGAAGAGAGTGAGCAGAGCTACTGCATGGAGGACTACATGCGTTTTGGAAAAATGCAGATAAAACAAGATATCAACAAAAGGATAGCATGGGACATACCTGTGTTTTAATAGAAATTTACCTGTAAACTAATAATAATAAATGTTTTTTTAAAATTCAGTGTGTGTGTATGTTTTATCCTTACCCCCATAATAAATAGTAAAAAAAAATAACTTTATTAAAGAAAAAAAAAATAACAACAAAATATAATCAAACAAAACATAGTACCACTGGAATGAAACCTTCAGAAATTACCCCAACAACGGAGATTCTCGCACATAATTTACCAAAAAAAAAAATTTGCAGTGGAAAAGTCAAAGTTCAAAGCTGGCGATGCAGTGAGCATAATTCGCACAAAATCGGTTTTTGACAAAAAGCTATGAAATTAATTGGACACCCCCGAAAATTTCAAGATTGTTAAAGTAAGTGGTTCCTTCCCTCTTACGTATATTTTGGAAGATATGGAGGGGCGTTAAATCAAAGCTTCGTTTTATGAAGTCGATTTACAAAAACCGTACTACCAAATAGTCGATATCGACTATTTGGTAGTACGGATTTTGTAAATCGACTTCATAAAACGAAGCTTTGATTTAACGCCCCTCCATATCTTCCAAAATATACGTAAGAGGGAAGGAACCACTTACTTTAACAATCTTGAAATTTTCGGGGGTGTCCAATTAATTTCATAGCTTTTTGTCAAAAACCGATTTTGTGCGAATTATGCTCACTGCATCGCCAGCTTTGAACTTTGACTTTTCCACTGCAAATTTTTTTTTTTGGTAAATTATGTGCGAGAATCTCCGTTGTTGGGGTAATTTCTGAAGGTTTCATTCCAGTGGTACTATGTTTTGTTTGATTATATTTTGTTGTTATTTTTTTTTTCTTTAATAAAGTTATTTTTTTTTACTATTTATTATGGGGGTAAGGATAAAACATACACACACACTGAATTTTAAAAAAACATTTATTATTATTAGTTTACAGGTAAATTTCTATTAAAACACAGGTATGTCCCATGCTATCCTTTTGTTGATATCTTGTTTTATCTGCATTTTTCCAAAACGCATGTAGTCCTCCATGCAGTAGCTCTGCTCACTCTCTTCTGTAGAACATAAATATTCTATATGCGGAAAGATTTTGGCGTCTTCCAGCAAATTTTCATGTATAGTCAAATACAATATTCTATCGTAGTACTCGTAAAAGTTCAAACGAGACAGTACTCGTATTCTTTTAAATACCAATTTGCTTATGGTAATTAATTCCTGTACCCAGTCTTTCGAAATATAGAGTATACCCTCGTTATTTTCAATCTTGACCAAGACTTCACCATCACATTGTAGACAGCTGAGTTTGAAGCAGGTTAAATACATAACTTTACCAGTCGGACCTGCTAACAATAACAGTGGAAGCTGTTGTATTAATTCTGTGAAGTCTATCTCGTCGAACGAAATGCTTCTTTTCTCCGACAAAACGTAGGGGAGAAAGCTCACTTTCACTGCCGGAGCGAAGATTCTTGCGGGGCTAAGACCTGAGGTAATTTCTAGTCCGAATTCCGGCAGCGTAATTGCTACCTCGTAAATGTATTTTTGTTCGCGGATTATTTCCGCATTGACCACAAATCTTCCCCACGAATCCAATGCTTGCGTTGGATAATTTTCGACTTCGGACATTTTTCTCACTCTGCACTTATCACGAAATTGTATGAGTGGAAACTGAATAAAAAATTAAAATTTCTTATAGCTTATATATGTATAACCCCACCCATTCCCCAGATCCAAAGCGAACGCCGCACAAACTTGTTTCGACAGGAAAAAAACCTGACGGAGAACCTCCATCCATCCCGCTTTTGTTTTAGACAAGCTCTGACAAGAAAAAAAAGTACGTATCAAATAATGCGCCATTTTAAAAGGGGACATATTAACAATAGTGAAACTATTTATATTAAGATATACCTTTATCCTCTTTGCAAATAATTTTCTACTCGCTCACAGGTAGGATCATGAAGATCCTTCAATATTTTGTTGCACCAGGTATTTAGCTTAGCCTAGAATTCTTTTGAAAAAATTATTATTTTTAAAAAAGGCGCGCGCTAGATCAGTTGCCGTTTCAGCGATATTTCCTTGTTTCCCGTGTCGGAGTTTATCTCTTTTCTTTTGTGCATATTCTTGTTTTAATTAAATCTTGATTATCTTTTTATGCCAATTTTGACGATCATCTAATTTTTTGTAACTAAAATTAATTCAATAGAAACAATTAAGGCGAGATGATGCCCGGCAGCTGTTGTATTAGGTATGAAAAAGTCAATTTGGATGAAGGAGATGCTTCTTTTGTCCCGACAATGTACAAGAATAAACCTGTCTAACCATAGCAAAATGGGGCCCAAAACTGTGACACTAGGCGAGAGTATGCGTTATTTGGAAGTTAAATTTTAAAAATCCTTTGTAAAATATTCACGGGGAGGGTGTCAAGGCGTCAATTTTTATAAACATCGGAGGTCAGTGTCGGAGAAATAAGGGTTCTTCTTCCCTTTTCTCCTCGTCTCTTTTTAACTCCGTTTTGAGTAATTTGTAATAATTTGAGAAAAAAAAAAATCCAGTACCCGAAAAATGGACACACATTTGCAAGCAAAACAAAAAAAATAGGATAAAAAAAAACTATAAAATATAGGCGCCAATGCAGGCAATAGTTTAAATACGGGAAGTTACATTTTTAAACATAAATTCAGATTTTCGGTGGCAATATAACTCTATTTTTCGTGTTTGTTAAGAACCAGGCTTTGGAAACGTCTGGTTAAGGCCACAGGCCATTAGCTTCTAAATAAACGCGAGATATCATGAAAACCGAAAAAGTTTGAATGGAATCTAACGTTTCCTTTTGTTTCTCAAAAATAGTAATTAAGCGGAAAAGTACTCGTAGTATATTGATTAATTGTAGAAATATCTCATTTTCTACAAAACAACTTAAGTTAAATAAAATGCACATTAAATTATTATAAATTACCGCTTTGTTGTATTCGCTATTTACTATGCCCCAACCTATGACGACACTGGAGGGTAGCTTAAAATTTGACCTGCTTGGTTTACCTGCCTTTCGTAGGAATGCGGGTTGTTTCACGTGTCAGTCGAAGTTTAAAGAAGCGTTTGTGTTAAGGGTTCGTTTCTGTTATACGCGTTTGTTGCTTAATGCAATATCGTCAACGAGTTTAAGTTTTGTGTTCAATGTGTGTTTCATATACGGATAAATAAAACAAAAAAGACTGGAAAAAGATAGGTAAGAAGCTTTCGGAATTGCGACTTTAATGAGTAACCGCGTAACATTTTGACCTAGTATTATGTATATGTTCGACGAGGTTTCTATACTTAATTAAAAAAAATTGGGGAGTGATCGAAGGAGGCTGAGGTCGGAGAGACGGATCTTGTTTAGTATCAATTTTTGTTTAATAAAACAACCAAAAATGCTCGCTTACGTTTTTGAAGTAGGTAAAAAGGAAACAGAATTTTAATACAAATAACGCACGATATATCTCCCAAAAAATTCAGCCATATGAACAACGCGAAGAAGTTAAGCAGATAAAATTTTACAAGATTTTTGGGGGGCCTAGTGTAAATTCGGATTGTGGAAAGTAACAGATAGAGAGAATGAGTGACCTATATAGAAAAACAGAGACAGAAAGGTAGATTTATTTAAACGTTTCTCAATCATCCACCCATCGGAGATAATAAATAACATTCGCTAGTTTTTTTTTTGCATGTATTGAGTTCAGTTCGGAATAGAAATATGTCAATAGTAACAATTTAAATATGGTAATTTTTGGGGATTGTTATACGTCCGCCAGCGTATTAAAAATATGGTTTTAGGGGTTAGAACTTTTAAGTTTCAAGAAAAAAAAACTCATGTTGAAATTTTTGTATTCGGAAGCTTCTGTTGTTTATTAATTTATAGACACTGGAAAATATAAAAATAAAACATCCTACAGTTGACATACGTGTCCTCTTAAACTCGAAAAGAGCTAATTTATCTTAGAAGAGTACGTATTTTTGGTAAAATAGATATTTTTTATATTAAATATTTGACCGATCAATGTAATTCGTCAAGCAGAAACCGAGAAGAAAAGTGACGCTTGTGGTGTTTGCTGACAATCCGACCCTGCTTCGTGTACAAATGCAATGCCATTTCGGCAGGGCTATAGGCTACGAAACCTTTCGAACTCGAAAAGGCGCTACTAATTTTGAATAGGTACTTCATTTTTGGTAAAAGTAATAGATAATTTTTTTTACGCTAAATATTCCACAGATCGATGTAACTCGTCAAGCAGAATCCGAGAAGAAAAGTGACCGGGGTGCTGTTTGCTTACAATCCGACCCTGCTTCGTGTACAAATGCAATGCCATTTCGACAGGGCTATAGGCTACGAAACCATTCGAACTCGAAAAGGCGCTACTAATTTTGAATAGGTACTTAATATTGGGTAAAAGTAATAGATAAGATTGTTTTACATTAAATATTTGACAGATCGATGTAACTCGTCAAGCGGAATCCGAGAAGAAAAATGACGGATGTGCTGTTTGCTGATAGTCCAGAACGGCTTCGTGTACAAATGCATGGCGGGGAGACCAGAAAGTTTTCGAAACTGCGTGAGTGGAAGTCTGCGTTGGACAAATTTTGAAAATATCTGAAGGTTTAACGAATTTTGGAGAATTCGACAGAGCTACAGACTACGAAACCTTTCGAAACGAACACACGTGCCCTGTTGAACTTGAAAAAAGACGAAATTATTTTTAAAAAGGTATATTGTTGCTAAATAATAGATTTTTTTTTAATTAAAATATTTGACAGATCATGGTAACTCGTGAAGCAACATCTCAGAATTGAATCGGGGAACGAGGAATCAAAAAAAGGTTAACAATTTGGATCATTTTGGAAGATACATACGCCGCGCTTTTCAAAGCGGACAGACGTGCCCTTGTCCAACTGAAACGAACACACGTGTCCTGTTGAACTTGAAAAAAGACGAAATTATTTTAAAAAGGTATATTGTTGCTAAATAATAGATTTTTTTTAATTAAAATATTTGACAGATCATGGTAACTCGTGAAGCAACATCTCAGAATTGAATCGGGGAGTTGTGTATTTGCTGGCAATCCGGGCCTGCTTGGATCATTTTGGAAGATACATACGCCGCGCTTTTCAAAGCGGACAGACGTGCCCTTGTCCAACTGAAACGAACACACGTGTCCTGTTGAACTTGAAAAAAGACGAAATTATTTTAAAAAGGTATATTGTTGCTAAATAATAGATTTTTTTTTAATTAAAATATTTGACAGATCATGGTAACTCGTGAAGCAACATCTCAGAATTGAATCGGGGAGTTGTGTATTTGCTGGCAATCCGGGCCTGCTTGGATCATTTTGGAAGATACATACGCCTGCGCTTTTCAAAGCGGACAGACGTGCCCGTGTCCCACTTGACAAAGGCGGAATTATTTTAGGAAAGGTATATTATTTGTAAAAAAAAAATATACAATTTTTAAGTAACATATTTGACAGACCATGGCAACTAGTAAAGCAGAATCCGAGAATTCAATCGGCGGCTGTATGTTGACTGACAAGAATATAATTGCTGTTAATCCGGCCCTGCTTCTTGTACAAATGCATAGTGGGGAGACATGAACATTTTTCGAAAATGCGGCCCTATCCTCTTGGGATTCTACGTTGGACAAATTCTGAAAACGACCCAGAAATATAATTGGTGAGAAAATAGTTTTTTTTTGTTGTGTTAACAGTTAACAATTTTTTTATTTTGGAAATAAGGGGTTTCAGTGTGTACTGGTAATAGTGAATCAATTTAATGACCTCAGCATCTCTAAACCCCCATCTTGAGACGCGTTAACGATCCGGATCGAGTTACGTCGCGTAATTGTGTCACTTTTTTAATTAAAAAATGAAAGAGATGTACCTACCATACTTTAGAAACCCCTACTCCCCTTTGGAGGTGATGAAATAAGTTTTGGCATAAAATATAAGTTCCTCGTATTACTTTGATATAAGTATAAGTCTTGCCTGTTTTTTTTTTTTAAAGGAGGTTCAAACCCGTGCGAGGTAAGGTTTGATATATGAAACAGACCAGTCATGGGGACACGAGATATGGAAAGTTTCAGCGTAGTCGTCGCCACATTGCTGCCAACACTGCATATATAAGGAATCACGAACCATTCAGGTAAAATTTTGAAAACACATAGTTATGGCAATATAGAACCTCTCTTTTTTTAACAGGAATATTGAGACTTAGACCAGTATCTTTTAAGTAGGCATGTGGGGTAAAGAAGACGCAGAAGCTTCACTCGGGTACCGTCGGTAACGTAGGCGATTGATATATTTCCACCACTACATATGTTGGATTGGAATTTCCCATTTGATGCTTTGACTGACTAAATGAGGAAACTTGGAGGTAAGCTCTTACGGAATTCTATCGAAATATGTTTAGTAACATATTGGTGCATTACTCTGTCTTCCAGTCAGTTTCACATAAACTTTGCACGTATTATAGAAATCCCACCTACTTTTTTTTGTGTTAATATTATTGAAAGTAGTAGCTGGTAGCTGTAGTCATAAGCCCAGAGAGTCTCTGTTTTGAACATAATACACAAAATGGGGCGTTCAAAAACAATAGACTGCATGCATTTTAGAGTCGGCGTAAACTATGGTCATATACCCCTGATCAAATTCAGAACTAGAAAATCGTTGTGTCTCTGCATTAAAAATAATAGTAAAATTTATTGTAGGCACCTAGTAGAGTATCGAAAATTTCCATTTTTAGTGCCAAATTGGTTACTCCAGTAAATTCCAACTGTTCTAATTTTTTTTTAATAATTTATGATGTTAGTGAGTTTCATTGCAATTATTTGTTACTTAAATTTTCTACGTATTAAACCTTAATTAACAATACGTTATTCGTTAACGCAGGTAGAATTAATGACGCTAACTGACCTGATTTTGTCCAGGGGGGCGTAGTACGGTAGTTTGTACTGTGATGTTTGGTAGTTTGGCAGTGAGCTCTCATTTATGAAACTGGGGAATGTTTCGTTATCTTCAAATCGTAAACACGTATCATTAGAATTATATTTTTAAAATATTGATTAGGACATGTACTAAGTAACTAAATGCTCTAGCGAAAATATTCACACATATTGCGGAAAACGTACAAATTTAAATTAGAGAAAATTAACTATTTTTAGAGGTTGGTTTTTCAAAAAGGTGGGGATTTAGTTAAAGAACAGATAGAGACTAAAGGGAAGCTCTATGAGAAAAATTAGAATTAAAAAGTCGATGTTTTCGTGTCATAGCGAAAGATGGATTATTATTAAAAATAATACTTGCATTAATTGTTGTCACCATTTGTGAAAAATATGGAAAATATCCTCTGGGTTCGCATACCTTTTTTTTTAATTTTTTTTTAAGGTGGCTAACAAAATACACAGACAGAAAAGTTTAGATCCTGTTCGTTAATGTAGCGCATAGAAAAAAAATTAGAAAAGAGAACGTTTCGTGTATGGCATACGTAGTTAGTACGGAATATTAATCTGAAGGCTGCAAGACAGTGAAAGAGTGATGCGCTTAAGTGTGGTTCAGAGAGGTTATTTGGGCTGTAGAAGTTTTTCTTTGAACAGGGTTCAAATAGCGTCTCCTAGAGCGTTAGCAGAGAAGAGTATTACAGTATTTAATATAAGCGTCCAGATTTCATTGTTGTTGAGATTGCCATAGAAACACACTTTCATGTAGTAGTAGTCGCAGCAGCTTTAAAGTATATGACTTTTTAGTTAAGATGCCTTTCGAGATTGCTTTATGGCTTGATAGGAAATTAAAGGGTAGATACAGATAAGTTACAAAAAAAAGTATGTACACTATCCTCAAAGATCAGCAATAAATAAAAGAAATTGATGAAATAGTAAAGTTGACTGCAATATCTTAAAATCATCAATAAGATAGATAAATTAATTTTGAAAATATTAAATAATAAAAACAAATAATAAAATAGCAAAGAAAATCAAAATCATCAATAAGATAGATAAATTAATTTTGTAAATATTAAATAATAAAAATAAAATTATAATAGCAAAGAAAGCCTACCACGGCCACATACACATAATATTTTCGACATATGAACTTTTCCCAGATAAATAGTCAAATATTTCACGATACCTTAAAACAGAAGCATGCGGAAATATGTATGAAGTTAACGCACGGTAGATGGCTTATTAATTAAAAAGGTATATGGTTTCTAATATCCTACTTTATTAATGAAAATTTTAACCAGCTTTTTGTTTTGCAGATATTATTGGTGGTGCCTGCCAGCTTCCAGTTCCGAGAAAAGAAATCCAACACTTTTCGTCTTTATTTCCCCTGTCCTTTGTGCGCAATAAAAGTACAGTTTGTACCCGCGAGGGTACACATTCGCAGAATTATATGTTTTTAAAATAAATGTTTTGGTCAATATTCACTAGGTGGGGTTACCTTATTAAAGAAAATCTTATTCCAAGAGGGGACACTAGTTTACATTCGAACCGCTAGAGGGTGCAGATGGTCACGCGAACAATATGATCAAGTCTCATTGACGCCATTGCTTTTCATACGGGTGGGAAAATATCTGGGCTCTGATTGGCTTCGCCGCCATCGCAAACTAGAGGTGGGGAGATTGATTAAACCGCATTTCTGGTTGCTTATCCAATGGGGACCAGTTTCAAGGGATTATGGGTAAAGGCGGAGGAGCTAGAGAGTCGTGGGGAAGGAGGATACGCCCACAAAAGGGAGAGGAGTGGGGATGTCCCCAAGCATACATATATCTACTCTGACGGTCATGTCAGTGAATTTATTCGTGTTTTGCGAAAATGTACCCAAAAACTAACGGTCGTAGAAACAGTACAGTATGCAACACGTTCGGTAAACTTTTTAACTCACTCGTTTATTAAAAACTCGCTCCGCTCGTGTCAAATAAACTCGTGAGTCATATGCCGTTTACCGCACTTGTTGCATAATATACTGTTACCACACTTGTTGCACAATATGCTACTTCTATTTACTGGGATCTCAACAGGTCTAAACGCCCAAAAACTAAGTTGACCTTGAACAGAATCCCTCACGAAAATCGTTTTTAATATTGGATAGTTGCAATAGTTTCCATTACGCTGACAGTCGCTCTCAGTCAGTTGTCTAATAAATGCTGTTGTAGGTGCGGTCGTGAGCACTGCACATGGCGGTTCAACCTCCGCTCGCTCCCGACAGAATCCATTGTATTCACCCCAAAAGTTTTTGATATCGGGTTCGATCGTGTGGTTTTCGTTTCCTAAAGTATTTGGTGAAGTTTTTAAGTGTTTAAGTATTGCCGGCCCCACTGCCTTTGCCATATACGCCGGTTAAAGGTCGGATGGGCCGGATAGTCCGTGATGGAAATGGGGGGTGGCCGGTTTTTTGGGATCGGTCCTTTTTTGCAAGCTGAGAACAAACGTTGGTTATAGGTTTTTTTACGTGTTGGTCTATGACCGAAAAAAAAATCCTCTACAAACATTGGTAATAGGCAAATAGACATAGTAGTCTTACACAACTGTTTGTGAAAAGCAAAGAAGAAGAAGTACTCTGGTTTTTTTTGTGATAACGTGCTATGCCAAACAATTACAATGGAACAAAGTATGTATATTCAAAATTATTTTCTTTTCATTCATTTACACAGTTTGATCATATGTGGCTTATATAATAGAATTTTTTCATATTTTATATGTTTTAGTACAACAACAGATTAAAGTTTCCAAGGTTATCCACCCTTATCAACTTTTTTTTTCTTATATCCGCTTAGCTTACTTCTTTCAAACGGTATATACTTTGTCCGCTACTTTTTGTACTTTTTTTATTTTACCATATTTTTTTACAGGAAGTCAAGAAGTGCAAACAAGCCGCAAAATACAAGTAATTCGGCATAAACTGTTTTCTTTGCTACAAGTTATCTCTTGAACATCCTTCACAATGCAGAGAACATATAACTATATTTAATTTAAGTGAAAGTTGTTTAAAAAATTTATTTTATACAAAAATCTACCCACGTTTCCGTTGAAAATGTAAAGCCAAGGTGGAACATAAGCAGACGTATTAAGTTGACAATAAAAAAGGAAGACCAAAAAAATTCTGTAGCGAGAGTTCTGAAAAAACTGAAAGCATTGATTTATCTGCTTATTCTACAATTTCATGTATCAGTACGGACAAACTGACATTTATAACTGTGAAATTTTTACGCTTATCAAGAAGGAGGAAAACTACAGAAGTAGTAAAGATAGTGACAGGTGCTTCACCTAAAAGCATTAAGCGAATTAAATCAGCAACCTTGAGTCAACTGAGCAATTTAAACCTTGTTCGCGGACAGAATCTCTAGCGTTCATGACTGATCTTAATTAAGGTAGAGAACATTACATTACAATATTACAAAGAGGTGCCAAACAAAAGCTATATACTAATCCGCCACACAATGTTAAGCACGATGTTTGATGGCTTAATTTGAAATATTTTAACTGAAACTGCAGCTAGCCAGCGTTGTTATATATTTGGAATTTTAGGTAAAAAACATAAATAATTTGGAATTTGTTTTAACAATACAGTGCGTATATTCGAACATTTGAATTATTTATACACATATACAAACTACCTTTAAAAACTTGACAGTCTAGAGGGGTTGAAGCACAGCAAC